CAAAATTCATTGCCATTTTTGGTTCGCTGAGCCAAAAAACAGTTTTTTGTCAATATCTCTAAAACGAACCACTGGAGACCTTATGTTGCTTCATAACTTGTAAATAAATGTGGCCATTGCGGTAATTTTAAGCTAAAATGTAAGTCTCTATGCCCTTTAGGAGCTGAAATACAAAAATCTCGTATGCGCGACTGAGGGTAATTTAGAAAATTTGCCCTATAGGGTTATGTCTAGCGACACAAATTGTGTACCTAAACGATTTTGGTTAAGAATGATCTAACAAACAACCCTGTGTTGTCAGAAATCGTGTACATCGAAGTGCACGCTCAACTATTCCCTGCTACTGGAGTACAAGGGGAAAATTTTAACCCTATGTCATGTGGGGTGATTCGGAGTCAGCGTTCAAAAATACATAGAATAGATTTAAATTGTCAGGGGCCCTTTTAGAAAAATATCGAAGATCGACTGTAGAGTGATTTAGTACGCTCGGTTTTTGTGGAAACCAATCTGAAACTGGTCAAAATGGGGACCCGTGGAAAAACTTAGCTCATGATATTACTATTGGCAAGCTAGCACGTGGATATACTTGCACGCGCACCAACTGTCGTATAATATTAATGGTCGTTTGTCGGCCGCGCTCGGTCTCAAGTATACTACTAAAACTTTTAATGTTAACTTTTATTTGTAAAATAGTAATAGAGTAGATCAGTCTCATGTTAAAGTGGTTACTTGCGAAGACTTAATTTATTTCTTAAAACTAAAATGAACTATAATTTGCACTAACTTGCGTTAATTTCAGTAAGTGTAACTCAATTCCTACCAAAATATTTTGGTAAAATAACGGATACTCTGGCCTGGCAGTCAAATATGATGTGAGCCAAAATGATACCGCATTTATATTTAGGTGTCCCTTATAATTATAATGATAAACACTGTGTTATTAAAGTTAAAATACTCCCAATTATGTTTTTAAGTCTTTATTAAAGTATTATAAAACGTTAAATTGTGCAGGCTCGAGACAAGTGAGACAATTTCATAAACCAGAAACTATATAGCAATCAAACCACTCAATACAATAAACTCCAGGCTTTTCACTGAAAACATAAAATATAAGCTCTAATTCTGCTTAAGAGTAAATATATCCTAGTACTAAAAATAACAGTCAGAAGAATTTAGTCTTAGTTAGAAAAAAAAGATAACATTAATAACCAAGCAGCCAAGCCCAAAGTGTAATATATTATATAGCTAATCAGTGAGAAATCACAAAATACCAACAACAAAAAAGCAACAAACGATAGAAAATAGACAATCAAATTTAAAAGAAAAAATGGTATTATTGGACAGTAATTGGATAGTCATGATGTAACAAGAATTTATAACCTATGCTATATCTAAAAATTGGACGTAAAATATCACTTTAATTGACGACGATAGCTATTAAATTCCTATAATGCGATAAATCCCTGTGTCACAATGTCCTTGATTAAAAAAATTATAGATGTGGATACTGCTGGGGAGGTGAAGCATTTTTTTTGACACATGGCACCGATTTTAGGGGTTGAATAGATTCTCGATAGTCGATTCTGATTGGTAAATGTCTTTCACGTGTCAAAAGATATGCTTCACCACCCCTCCAGAATCCACATCTATACATCAACTTACAGTAGCTGCTCAAACTAAAAATGGATTGTTTGAAAAACTAATGACTATAAATTCGTGGATCATAAAAGTATTGAAATAAAGAAGTAGCAGCTTTACAGTTCCTGGGCACCAATATTTTTAACACCTTATTAAGACACCATTGTAATTGTGATCAGCTGTGGCTTGAAAGGAAATAATGTCCATCTACTTTATCATCTTCCCTAAGCTCGTTCATACATTTGGTAGCTGTCCATTACGTAATATCACCCTGAGAGTAGAAATGTTAATCACTAATAAACCAATTAAGACTTATAAACTGTTGATGAAAGTATTCAGCCATCATTTTTATCCAAGTGTGGGAATCTATATCGTGTAAATTTATTTTGTATAATGTAAAATGTACATTCATCTTGATGATAACAGTTTTTAATAAAGCATATATCCTGCTTATTCAAAGATTCTATGTAAATCTGTAAAATCCTACCTTATCATTAGATGTTCTATGATTCCATCTAAATTGGCGTTTCTGCGATGATATCCTCGTTTGCTCTAACTTGCGATGCTCCCTCTATTTGATCTCCCATTTCTACAGCAGTAACTTGCAATCTTAAACATGTAGCGCCTCTTGAACATCTAGCAGCAAAATTTCTGAATGCCTCACCAAACAACTCTCTGAGAGTGTTATCATATAGCAAAGGGTTGATGACCGAATTGAGGGGTAAAACTATCATAGCGAAGCTTACGTACCAATCTGTAGCATCGATTGTTTCGAGATTGTGGAGCCCACTGATGATCATAAATGGAACCCAACAGGCGAAATCTGTGGCTATGACCAGCGCAATCCTGGTCTGTATTGCTCGGTTTCTGCGGACAGCATCTGGATTGCTATTTTGCCCAGAATTTCTGGATGATTTCCGAGATATAATGTTGATCATCAAATAGGACACGGTTATCACCACAAAGCAGAAAAGGTTGACGCCCAACATAAGCCAAACTATCATATTTCCTTTCACGTCGATCATTTCTGTTTTCATATCCGATGTTATGCGGTTTCTTCTAGGATCATCACTACGAACAAAGTATTTGAAGAGGCACACACCATCATTTCCGTAAAAGTGCACTGCACTTCTACTCAAGCTTTGGTTGAACATTCCATCAACTTTCTCGCCGATCTCAGCCCAAGTTGTATTCGCCAACAAATTTTCAGTTTTGTAGTATGCTTGAAGAATTTTAATATGCTTCATTTTGTTCGGGAATCCGATAAATAGCTTGTAGAGTGGATCATAGAAGAAACCTTGCACAAAGTAGTCATCTAAGGCGGGGACCAATGGTATGATTGCTACTGATATCGAAGCAGTAACGATTCCAATAACGATCCCAATTAATTTTGCTATTGCTCTTTTATTGACACGGGCTGGAATGCTAAGAGAGCTGTTCAGAATTCCCCACATCCTGATCAAACTTAAAAGAGTCATCGAAAATAAAGAAAGTTGTGATCCCGCAGTGCTGATAACTCCAAGAACAGAACAAGAATTCCCCGATAACCACTCAGCTTGCTTCCTGCAATAATTCTTTCCGAAAATAATGCTGTCGAATACTGATAGTGCGATCAAGTAGACTCCTATTAGGAAATCACCAATTCCGATTACACAAATTAGTACTGTAGTGTATAAATTGCTTCTTGTTTCAGAGTCTTTAATACAACTCGCTACTTTGCACACGGTGATGATATTAAAAATTGCTGCTAAGAGGCCCAACAACCAGCAATAAAGTTTCAAGAACCAGTTTTGGAGGATTTCCTTGCCACACTCTAGATTGCATTCATCTGAAAGATCAAAACAATCAAATCTACCATCACACTTCTGGGAATGAGATATCAAGTGCTCTTTTACTTGATCTGTCCGGTTGTTTGTATTCTCACAAACTATATGATTTGTACAGTTTCGTTCATCCGACATGTCACCACAGTCATCAACAAGGTCGCAAACTTGGCTGTACTTTATACATTTAGTATTCTTACATTGGAAAATTGTATTTTCATATTCACCTACATCGGACATTGACACAAAAGTCAGGTTATTGTTGTTTGCCAGAGTTTTGACTCGGCCAGGATACTGACCAGGACATGAATCATGTTCTAAAAAAGTGTCTTGAATAGGACACGTAGAGTTTAAGCATAAACCCATGCAACTGATAAACACATAATGTTCACCGAAAAGACTATTGCAGTTTACTTGAGAAGTCGGCACATTGAGCATTATATTGACACCGAAAGCAGATCCTGCTGGCCCCTGAAATTCCCGTATATGACATGTTACATTTTTAGAGTCCAATGATTTGCACAAATCTCGTCCAGCACATCTTTCATTCACAGCAGTCGTATTGATACTTGGGAAATCTCGCGAAATTCTGCAGACCTCATTTTCAATCTCACAAGAGTTCACACCATCACAAAGAAAGTCAAAATCAACATAGCCTTGATCAGAATCTCCAGGACACAACAAAATATCCTGGCAGGTTTTGTCTCCTAAGACAACTCTATAAGCCGAATCATTTTTCTCTCCACAATATTTCCAAAGGTTTCTTTTTTCATCTTCTCCATTGAGGCAATCGGTTTTGTTGTCCATTATCCATTTTATGGGTATTGTTATATTTCTATCGCCACCAAAACCACGAGTACAATTGAAGAATCCCACTGTTGTTAGGTGGCATATGTCACGGGTCTCATCACTATTATCTTCACAGTCACTAACTCCATCACAGAGTTTGTGTTTGTGAACAACACAGTCTGCAGATAATGAGCGACAATCGTTTTCTAGATTATCGTCACAGAGACTAGTATTTTCATTGGTTAGCTTAAATTCACTTCCACAGAACACGTACTTTGATACACTCGACATGAAACCATTTATCAAACAGTAACCACCCACTCTGTTTACATCAGTGCAATTTGTTTGTTCTAGATATCCGTAACAGTACGGATAGGTGAACGAGTATTCTTCACTGTGATCAAATACACTACACCTGGTGTAGTTTAATATGGGGACTGTAATGTCCCAATAATACCTCACTTTCTTATAATAATGTATACAGGTTGGTAATGTGGTGTTATTACAGTCCTTCTCATCCTCCTCGTTATCACAATCATATTCTTTGTCACAAACAAAGGATACAGGTGTATATTTACTAGCACAGTAAACTCCGTATGTGTGACCCTCACATACACTCTCATCCTCACAGTAATCAGAGTCGCATTTGTCGTCACACTGATCTTCGTTATTGCCGTTAATGAAGCTCTGTGATGATTCCTCAGCAGAATTTCTTCTACAGTTCTGGTCACACTCTACAAACTGTTGTACTTCTAGATTTGTATCATTTCTAAAATAACCTCCACAGAAATAAATGCTCTGTAAGGTAATTTTCGTATGAAAACCACATGCCTGATAAACATACGGGTCATTTTCACAGACAGTAGAGACACTAAAGAGTGTGTTACTCTCAGTTCCTGTTACATGATAGGTAGTGTTCGAATAAGCACACTTGTGAAAGTACTCTTTTCTACTTTCATCATAACACAAGTGTTTCAAAAACCCCCCGATATTAGTCACAGTGCAGTTTTTGTTTGATTGCTGCAAAATTTCGTCAACACATCCTGAACAGCGAAAAGTTGTTATTTTAGGAAATAGAACCAGAACCGAAACCCATCAGCTGATGCCCTATCATTTCATTTTCATGTCGTAGCGCTTATAGTTTATACGGGCTATTTAGTATTGATTGTATAATGAAATAAATCGTAACTTAATTATAAAGTTTATTGATAAGTTTAAGCTTTTTACTTTTTAAGATAATCTATACCTGTTTTACTAGAGCAGTGGAGCCAAATATTGTCCTCATGCTGACAGTTGTGTCTCAAAATGCGGGAATTGCAATCTGATATGTCAATATCATTCTGTTTGCAGTTAACGTCATCCATTACTATTGACATGTCAGTTCCATTCAGCCAATCCCTGAATAATTAAATGGTTGGGTGCAGATTGCAGAATGTTCGGATATTCAAAATAGCAAAGAAACAGCATTTCCATTGTAACAGAAACTAAAATGTTGACATATAAATCAAACTCACTCAGGAACATATTTCATGTTTCTCGGATTACTTCCCCAGTCAGAGAAGTGATGTCCAATTGTCCAGCAAAAAAGCTGTGCCGAATACCAGTTAAACGCATCCTTGCAAACTGTTCCATTTTTCACCTTACCAGTTTGCTTGTTATAAACTGTTGCGATCAAAAGACCCCCGCTATCATTAAGTCTTTTCGTTCCAGTTACCATGTTGATAAGAGATGCTCTCTCAAACTCCCACACACGCTCTGAAACGATTATGATAACAGTGAGTAAAGAATCATATTTTTGAAAGAGCGAATTTACCGTCATTTAACATTCATTGATCCTCCCATGACTGGTTTAATAATACACGAGATCGCAGTATCGGATCAAACAATGTCTAAAATAGAAATTTAATTACGCTTCTTAAAATAATTACATTGTCACCCACATCTGTACTATAATACTACCAAAGCACTAACCTATATTATAATAAGAGGTAGTGCTGCCTGTATTATAAAACTCTATTATGCTCACTTCCTTTCCCCAATAAGTATTCCAAGTTTCATCACTACACGTTTCAGATGATGCTGTTATGTTGACGACCTGTTTTCCATTACAATATACTATGATCCTGTAGCCACGTTTCTCTACTACCCAGTGTTTATCTGTTTCTGCAGGTAGACTTGTCGGGAAGGGAGTGTAGCCTGACTGACAATCGTCGAGATAATACTCTACACGAGTACTGAACCGGATACCGATACCTCCTACTTCTTCTCCTTCCTCATTATAGAACTCTATATCTAAACTGAACCGGATATAAATACTTCCTCCATAATCTCCTTCCTCACTATAGAACTTTATTCTTATATACTGATCCCCACTACCCACAGTGCTGTCTGTTCTCAGGTGCAGGTAAGAAGTATCCATATTAGGAACAGGGATACTTTCGAAAATAACCACAGGGCTCCACATATCTGTTGATTTGTAAGTTATGATAAACTGGGATGAAATGTTTTGAGCTGCAACACGGTTCTCAGAAATGTTGATTATTAGAATTATATATGATATATATCTTACTTATAATTCAGAGAATTATTTTTGTTTGTACACTGAACGACCGCCCACGTGCAAATTAGGCAAAAAGCAAAAGGTTGCAAAGTAAACATGGTAACGAGGGTTATTACATGCACGTGCAATGATTGTTTTAACGTCATTTTGATCGGTTTAGTTGATATTACGCTGTGTCTAGTACGAGCAGCATTTTAATTGGCTGTATCTTCGGTTGTGTAGGATATTTTTTGTCGCGATTCAAACTTACTAACAAAAAATACTATTAGCTTCCTCCCTGTGACCACGGGTTTTCTATAGTACATATATAAAAAGACTTGAATATTATGAACATCTCTTAATTTGCGTTTTTGACAACACTTGGGACAAATTTTGGGCACTAAAATTTTTATTTCTTGGCCAATTTTTTATTTTTTCATGCTGATTTGAATGCCATTAAGACATTTGACCCAGTCAAAAAAGTTTCAGTTTTATATCTTTTACGGTTTTTGCAGAAAATCGTGTTAAAGTTGATGCCGTGGTGTCAGTAAAATGGTACGGATAACTATCGTCTCGCTTTATATATAGTAAGATATTATATATACTATATATTATATAAACCGCTTTTTTTATTGTGTAGAAGTTCAGTATAATGAGATATATATATACATATATCGTCTCGCTTTATATAAATATATATAGAAAGATCATTAACTCTATCATAATCCGAAGAGTCACATGGTATGAAATAGGAGTACATCACCTGTTCCGTTGGTACAATACAGCCACACACTCTGATTGTTTCTGCAACTGTCTGTTGAAACGTTTACAAAGCATTCAGATTTTGTATCTTTGTTGTTAATGTCTTTGCAGATCAATTCATTCAGTATCATTGACTCTTTTGTGTGTTGTAGTAAAAAGGGCCTGAATTATATTATTGGTTGCACAAATTTACTCGGTAAGGGTTGATGTCTTATATTGAAAGTTCGGACTAATCCTTCTTTTAAATTCTACTGTATCATACGTACTTTTAAATTTGTATTCATTTTATAGGAGAGTAAAGTCCGAAATATGCGTGTCAAACCTGTGATTGAGTGTCTATAATATAGTAACAGACGACCTAGCATAAACGACACTTTTCAAAAAATAGTGTTTTTGACCCTGGTCATTAGGAAAGTTCGCACGAGATGGACCACGTTTTTCCCAATTTAACTTTAGAACTTTAGAAGATTGTCACAGGAAGAAATTTCAAGATAGGCATGATATGATATTTCACATGTCTATAGTTCAACTAATCGAATTTGGATTAATACAATTTTAAAAGCATTTAGTCGAGGGCAAATTGAGGCAAATTGAGGCAAACGAGTCATTGTTTGCCAATGGGGTGTGTCTGGGTGTCAAAGATCTTCAAAGTGGGTGCTACTTGTGATAAACTCTAGAAAGATGGGTTGGTAATACTCGGTCTGGCCGTCTGGAAGCCCATAGAATTCCAGTTCAGAAACCGAGTAAGGAGGTGCGGCCACTGATGAGAAGCCTCCTTAAAGTTTATTTGGGTTAGAAACGACATCTGGGTCCCTACCCTCGCACAAGATTATTCTCAATTTTCTTGTTGTGTTCCACAACTGTACTTCTGTACACTTCAGTGATTGGGCTGCAATGACTACAGTGAAAGCGCTGGTGACTCTATAAGTGAAAGTGCTGGTGACGATGAGAAAGACCATAAACCAGGGATTCCTTCGGGAGCATATAAGATTATATCCACCCCCTTTTGTTCTGGTCCAGAGCATTAGCCAGGCAGCTTCCCGGTAATTCGAGCGGCTGGGTGGGTCCTGGGCGGGATTGGTGTGGGTTCGTCCTCCTCGTGGTATGGTCTGAGATCTGGGGGTTGGCACGGGGGTGCGGCGGGGATGGGTGAGTGGTGCTGGCTGGAGGGACGGTTACTATTCATACCGACCAGCTTAAGCAAGTAAAGTTGTTTGCAGTCGGGACGGATGGGAACTTTGAATCGACAGTTAGCATTGCGATCCTGGCTCTTGTCAAACTCTCGGGCCTTGGACCCGTTTCTCGGGGCTGGCACAGGGGGTTTGGGCTCCCGCCTCTCGTCTGGGGCCTCCTGGACGCTTTAGAATTGCTGGGATTATAAGTACGGCGGCGGAGTCAGTCCTGAGCACCAGAGCATTCGTGAAGACTCCGCCCACTTACTCTGATTTATCTGACTGTAATTCCTTTCAACCCAATTCTTGTTCGTGTCTTTCATTCTTGGATTGATTGGAACAGCAGCCTGGATTCGGTTAAGTGACCTTGACGTGGTAAGGGGGCTTACTCGGCTTCACTCGACCTGCCGAAACTAAGCCGTACTGTCCAGCTGGGCATCACTGGACATAAGTCGCACGTGCACTTCTTTTGGCTATTTAACTCACCTGATCCTTCCTCCCTGAGCACTCACAGCTTTCATTCACATTGAGCTATAGGGTTTTTGAAGTTTAGGGTGTGCGCTTCAGGTCGGGCCCTTAATTCCGATCATTAGCACCCATTTTCCCTGTTTTATTGGGCGGCATTTCAACACTGTCGTCGTAGTATTTCTCAGCATCTTTCTACGATTCGCAGAAAGTGTTAAAACTCACGATACACCCTCACTGATCAACCATTTGCTTTATAGATCGTGGATAGAGTGTGCTTCGGCAAACACAAATGTATGTGCACGGACTCTTGGGTCTGACTCATGCACTTTGTGCACCGTCCACGAACCCTATAAAATAATATACTGTAACAACACCAAAAACCAACCTTTACTGCCAACAGTGGTGCCAACTGGAGGGACGGTCACTATCCATAACGACCAGCTTAAGCAAGTAAAGTTGTTTGCAGTCGGGCCGGATGGGGACTTTGAATCGACAGTTGGCATTGCGATCAGACCAACAACCTACTTTCAACCGACCACTTTTGACTCTCGGCAAGTCTCAATGGTCCAACCGACATACGACATTATTGTGTTAAAAGCTAAAAAAATCATATCTTCGCGCGGGTGCGCGCACCCACGTGAGAACATATGGTCACAAACAAAAGATAACAACAAACACAATTTCACACACAAACGTCTATTGAGCGGACTGTGGGAGCCATGTTCAGGGAAGGTCTGGCGGGGGCTGTTTGTCTGGAAGGGACCATGCGTACCTTCTGGGGGGCCAGCTGCTGCTACCCGACCCTGTCCAACTCCTCAGCGCCCCACCGGCAATGATAGGTCATAATACCTGTCTAGGGGGAGGGACGGCTTCCACTCCGCTCAATGACGCTCAAACTAGCACAAAAAAGAAGAGACGCCAAAAAAAGTTAAAGACTACTGTTGCAGCACGCAACAAGCAGTCTGAAACTTACTCTGTCACCCAAATTAATCTCAAACGCAAGTTCAATGCATGGAAAACCCTCCTTATCAACACTCACGGCCGGAGAAATCCAATCATTCTTGCAACAGAACCGTACTCTAATAACAAAAACCTAATACCACCCATCAATAAGGATCTCACCCAATATTACTACAAGGTCGGGGATAAAAGACCCCGTGCCGCTATTGTACTGCACAAAAACCTGACAGTAAAATGTTGGGAACTTACACAATTCACAACACCCGATCAAGTGGCCATTAAAATCCAACTCAGCTCGACAGAACTCATTCTGGCAGCTTCGTACATGGATATAAATGGGCCGGTACCGCCACAAGAAACATCACCTCTAGCAAAATACGCAAATGATAACAACATCCCGCTCATTATAGGGTCGGACACCAATTCCCACCACACCCTTTGGGGGAACAAGGCATGCAATAAAAGGGGAGAGGAGCTTCTTGACTTTCTCTCCTCCCTAGGGCTGTCATGTGCCAACAAAGGATCATCCCCAACCTTCCTCAACTCTCGAGGCCACAACTCAATTATCGATCTCACAATAACAAACCAGTTGGGAGGAGATCTCATTAGTAACTGGCATGTTAGTGACCTTTACTCCAACTCTGACCATCGCTATATTATGTTCGATATAACTACAGGGCCAAAGAAGGAACCCAAACAGATCCGACTAGTCAAAAACACTGACTGGGACAGATTTGATGAGATCCTATCGAATAACCCCAACCTTAACAACACACAAATCAACACTACGACTGAAATTGATCACAAAATAGACATAATCAATACTGCACTAAAGGAAGCCTTCGA